TATAATTTGATGCAGAATTTATCAGAGAATTAATTCCTGCATAAATAATGATCGTGATGCATTTATTCCTTGAATTATTAATGAATAACTATCAACAAACACGTTTTTAGTTGAGTTTAGACCGTTATTCTTCACTATATGATAAAATTATGTTTTAACAGAATAAAATTTGAATTTATATCATATTAAACTCCAATTCAAAGTCAATTATAATTAAATATTCATTATGCAATATCGATATTGTTGTTTATCATTCTAAACTTTCTATAATACGTGATCCAAATTCATTGTGAAGTTGCAAATTTGCGCGGTATACGAACAGAATATAATTGAATGTCGATCAGTGGGTAACAAACAGTGCGCGATGTGAACGCACGATTAATGTTCGCTCGACACGTACGGCGCGGTGTGTTCGGCGGCGATGATGAAACACATAATAGACAAGCTCTTTGCGTAATAATTGTCCTGTCGGCCGGTTTTGCGCGTCGCTCGCCGCTCGTACGATTAATTTCATCGTTCGATGCGTTCCAGCGGCCGTAACCGCATTATTCACACTTTTGCACGCGACAATCAGGATAATATTCGATTACTAACAACTCAACTCGGACAAATACACAAGTAAAACAATGCACATTGAAAATATTTGTGTAATAGCATTTATTACTTCCCTTGAGTAGAAAACAGTGTTTTCAGCATCACCGTATTGTGTAGAAAACAGTGTTTTCCAAGTATTGAAAATAGCAATTAATTAAAATCATAAAAATTTTACTTTCGGATGCAAATTTTTAGTTTTAGACATTTTAGTTTTAATTTTTCTCACCTCGTGACTAAAGCCCGTGATTAAAATTCTTTAGTCACGGCCTTGGCCGTCCGTGATTGAACTACCATTTTTGGCGTCTCGAAACCAAGAAAATAGAGGAAATAGAAAAAAATATATTTTATTGCTTTGCAATAACAAATTATTTAATTATAATCCCATCACCATCAAATTAAATTAATCCCAAATTGCGAATAGTTGTATTCATCAGCGTGGCAAATTGATTTTCACCTGCACTAGTAATCCACTGGTTAAATTAAACATAATTTGATTATTTGCGCTTCTAGTTTATTGTGCAAACTCACATCTTGCGCTCTTGCACACTAATTCAGTTTTATTCATCACTTCATGCATGTGTGCGCACTGATAACAAATAAAAAGCCGCGAACGTAAAAACGAGATAATAGTTTGTCGAAATGCGCGCCGATGATAATTAGCGTCAAGCGAACCGTGAAGCAAAACATTTGCGACATGTCACGTTTCTGGGCATAATCACACATTACAAATTTCATATTTATTCGCTCGAGTGTATTTTTTCCGCTCTCGCTTTTCAACCGCGATTATTTTCGTGTTGAGGGGGGCCTAAAGCATGTTAAGGTCCAGAAGTTATCGCAAATTGTCAAGTCATAAGCATGACGTCGTTCACGAAATCACAAATTACTCATAGTTAATATTAAATTAATTTTTTAATTAGGAAATTAATTCAATTGGGCAGAAAATTAGTCAAAAATATATAAAAACCATGTTGATTTAGTTTAAATATGAATAATAACAAAAGAATTTTTTAATTTTATCGTAAACAATTTGTGCAATTGTATTTTTCGTCAATTTTGCGTTTTTACCATCAAAAACCGCTAAAAGTTGTGAAAACATCTTGTTATGCTAATTATACGCTTAAGTAGTTTTACTATATTTACTACGACAATGTCATTCTTTTACGTCTACGAGTTGTAAATAAATAATTGATGAAACTTTAAGTATGAAAGTCGCCAAACAAAAACATCGATTGTTTACGCTTTAAAATTACTAACTGCGTTTTTAAATACTGCGGTAAATTTAATTCTCATGCGTATTTGTAAATTTTTATAATATTGCTTAAATTAAATTAAGTGTGCAAACAGATTAATGGCGTTTTAACTTGTTTACGTTTTTTTTATTGCAATGTTAAATGTGAATGAATTATTTTTGATTTATAAAACTCCGGATATCTATTATTGTATTTGTTTATTTATTGTGATAGTTATCTATTTATCGGTTGTGAATTAATGTTTTCCAGCGAAATTTTATTTGGTATTCATCCGACGCGATTCTATGATTTTATTATTCACATATTTCGCTGTGGTTTACATCTTCCCCGACGTCACGCATTGTTCGCATTGTTCAATGCTACACACGACAGAGTTCCGTGCCGATTTCCAAACGCCCGCTGAATGCATGAATAAGTGTGACATTGTCCGATTAACGCGTTTAGCATCGCTGAACCGGAGCGCAAGAGATACGAATCTATCGCGTTCGGATTTTATTTGCATATATGTTAACTTCGACATCATCAAAAGCGTACGCAAACATATACACTAGGTTAGTGTAACAGTGTGCCGAACAAGGTTTAATACATGCAACCAGTTTTACATCTGTAAACATAACCTACCTACCTAATAGTCAACTGGTGTTGCTTTCTAACGGTGTATACGCGCGAATTTGAATATTTTTTATTCGTGCGTTTTTATTTCTGATCGTGATGGGTTTTACGGTTATTGGATTTTTTACGATCGTAGTATATCGTTTTATCGAGAACATTGTGAGTTTAGTTAATGAATGCAAATCGATGCGCATAAATTCGCGACGAAACAAGATAATAAAAATTCCGAACGAACCGAAACAAACAATAAAAAACAGATCGACTGCAAAATTATGTCAAATCGATTAGTAGCGTTTGTTTTTAAACCCCAGAATGAATGAAAAATTTCCTAGGTGCAATAAAATGTGTAATTTATGGTGAAATCATGTTTTTCGGAGTTTTAATGATGGAAAAATTGAATAATAAGTGCGTGTTTTTTTAAGCATCACTTAATTTTTTTGCACATTTTGTTCGCTTTTAATTATAGCATTTCACTTGTCTGGCTTCATTTGTCACGCATTAAAACTGTACATTTTCCACATTTCCACCGAAATAACTCGTTCGGATATGAGAGTGACAACAATTTTTAGAAGTCCTATTTACGCCTGTCAGACGAGATGTCAACTCAAATTTAAATTGGTTGATTAACGACACGTGGTGACACGTGACACATGACTCCGCCAAACATTTCACGTGATGAGATTATGAATTTTCTGATCATATTAGTTTCGGCATGCCAAAAATACCAGACAAAACAAAATGGCGCGTGGCTGCATAACCGATATGACGAAAAAACAACGAAAAATCAGTTTTAAAGTTAAATTAAATATATAGTTAGAGTTAACTTGGTGACAAAACAAATGAATAACGAGTTTTATCCCTCGTGGAAACAAAACACTCAACGAGTGTCTCGTGGAATTTCTTCGGATGAAAAGCGACGATGCGTGAAATAAGCAGCGCGCACACACATATAGTTAGTATTTACTTTTCGCAAGCCATAAGAGTCGAACGGCGGCCATTTCTTGACATAAAGAGCGCAAGATGTGAAAAGTGCGAAATCCGACGCGCGGAATGTGTTAACGCGCTCGCTAGAGTGTTTGATGTTGCGTGCACGCCCGTTTAAATGCCGTCTGCATCCGTTGGAGCGTAAACCGCAAGCCGAAAGATCGAAAGAAAGGAATACGCGAGGAAAAAATAAACGTACAGCGTTACGACATCGCAAAATGCACTGCGTTTATTATGCTGCAACGAATGGCACATATAACCAATTGCCTGCTTGAATGCACGCTTGCGCATGCGTTGTATTATAGGTTAAGGACGAAATATTACTACGGAACGTGATATGCAACCAAATATACACGAAAATTAAAATTACTATTCCTAACGTTTGATTTACATTTTGTGAGGAACGTAACAGAAATAAATTAAAACAAAGGACGATCCACTACGGTAGTGACAATGACACGTGTGTCATTAAGGTAACTTCACCTTAATTTAACAATTTTAACTCGTATTAAATCATGTAATTCGTGTTTTGTGGTTTGTTTGCGAATTTACGAGTAATATGCATCGCAAAACTTGTTGACTTCACATCCCATCAGGATATCAATGTGTTATACACGAATACGTACGTAAGAGTGAGGATAATGAATGACTTCATGTGTTTGGCAATGAGATTGCGAATTAACGTTTGGCAAACTAATTGTTTTTCACGGTCTGCCACCAATAATAAATATTAGGAATCACACAATATTTACCCAAGATTATATCTATTGTTGGAAAATTATGACATTGATTATGGTCAGTAGCATCAAATTTTAATCAAAATTTTAATTAGAGCGCCATCTATCAACAAGTTACAAAGATTTCATAACCTCAAAATAATTTCAAAATTAGTTATCAATATTTTATCTAGAAATGACGTTATATGACGTTACAAAGGTTGTAAAATTTTTAATTGCTAGTTATCAAAGTGATTATTAAAAATGCCGTGACGTATTTTTAATAATGAAGAGAATCTCGAAACTGATAGTCATTGTAATTGCTCGCGTGTAACTTTATGACTCGATTACATGCACTTCGTGTCTATAAAATACACAGGATCGTCTGATTTAAAAAAAATTATATAAATTTTAATCTGTGAACATTAAATATAAAATTTTTAAATGGTAATACAGCCCTGATATGCGGTTGATATTAGCCGCCGCACGCGTTGATCAATGTTTACGTTTGCGGCGTCCACAGTAACAAAAACGTGAGTTTATTTACTCCAACGCAATTGAACAATTGTTTATCGTAAAATTTTTGTCGTATACCGAATGATTCCAGAATGAAAAGTCATCTTATTCCTAATTTATTTCATAGTTTCGTAGAGCAATATGAGATCATTTATAAAACGTGCAAAGTAATTTCTATACATGATTCTCTGGAAAAGCCCAATCAATAATTATTTAATGTCTTATCAATAAAACATGTGATTAGTCCAACACCATATATTAACTTATCGACGCTTGCAATATCTCAGATATCGGTAGTTTCGCCTAGACGAGCGTTCGTCAGTCCAACCAGCAGTATTTGCAAAACACGCGCATAAAAAGAAGCATCGACTTCCAAAAATAAAACCGAAGTTCTCCGACTCGTGCACACAAGTCATCTCCGTCGTCTCCAGCTGGATGCTCTAGTCGCATCCTATGCTCCAGCACTCGCAGCTGCGTCATTTATGAACGCAGCAATTTGATAAAACATTAAGTGTGCTCGCAATTCGGCCGACAGTCGCGCGCTTCGAACAATGCGAATGCCATTCAATTAAGCGCGAGCGCCGCGCGCGCGCCTGATAAACCACGAAACAAAATCGGTGCTAATTAAAATCGCCTCTGTCCGGATTTTCGCCGCTGCTGCGCGTAACAAATAGCAAATATTTGCGAAATTTGCGACCTCACCATCTTAATTATCAGCCGGATTGTTTCTAACGATCGTGTATCGACTCAGTTCGACACGAGAATCACAACGCTACGCACACTAGCTGTTTATCAGTTAATTTTTGTTACTAATCAGCGATAGTGAAACAAGTGTATTGTTATAATGATTCTATCGGAGGAGGTACCCTATGAGACACTCGTCGATGAACGATTTATGCTCGCATGGATAAAGTAAACCATTGTTTTTGTGCGCGGTTTTGTTCACTTTGGACATTTACGAATTGCGCCGTTATTGTTGCAGAAATCCAACATGGTGGAAACGTCGAACGAGCATGGAGCGCGGCCTCACCTTCATCTCGGTGGTCGCACTCATCGTCACCGTCTCGCTGGCCGTCGCCCTCGCAACAGTATTATACAAGAATAAATATCCAGGTGACGACAATCGTAAGTGCTAAACGCGCATGCGCACACAAACACTCACGCCATTTTTAAATGATCTGACGTCATGTTACCATTGTAATTACTTGACATTGTCAAAATGCTTCATGGAACAAAATGATACTTTTACTAATTTTCGTCCAATTGTTATTTTCTTCATCGTATGCGTTTACAGTTCACACAGCCGAAGCCTACGTGAGTGCTAAAGTACCGCCAGCGTCCGGTAATACCTACCAACATGGCCACAAGGAATCCAAAGATGATATCTGCCTCACACCCGGGTGTATCCACACCGCGTCGAAGGTCCTCGATTCGATGGATACCAGCGTTGATCCTTGCGATGATTTCTATCAATTCGCATGCGGCAACTTTGTGAAGAATACGAATATCCCCGATGATAAATCTTCGGTGACTGTGTTCTCAACTATTAGTGACTTGTTGCAAGAGCAGCTGCGCACTATGATTGAAGAACCCATTGATCCCAAAGAGCCGAAACCCTTCCAGTTGACCAAAAAGATGTATAAGGCTTGCATGAATAAGACGGCTATTGAAGCTGATGGTTTGAAGACTATCAACGCCATTTTTAAGGAGTTGGGTGGGTGGCCTGCTTTGGATGGTGATCAATGGAAGGAGGCTGAATTTGATTGGAGGGAGGCCGTGTACAGATTCAGGAAAGTTGGGTACAGCGTGGATTACTTTATGGATTTCTCGGTTGGGATTGATTTGAAGAATTCATCTAGGAGAATAATTGATGTATGTTTTTATATATTAAGATAACATAACCCTATTTATGAAAAATTTATTTTGTTTTGGAAATAGTTGGACCAAGCCGCTTTAGGTCTGAGGAGAGAGTTTCTCATCAAAGGTATTGAAGACAAGCTGGTCAAAGCTTACTATGATTATATGGTTGACATTGCTGTCTTGTTCGGTGCCAAGAGGGAAACTGCCGCGACGGAACTGAAAGAATCTTTGACTTTTGAAATTGCCTTGGCTAATGTAAGTCTTAGAATTTATCTAAAAATTGATTTTAATTTTTTAAATTTTGTGTCCTCAAGATTTCCCTGCCAAATGAAAAGAGACGTAACGCTACTGCCCTTTATAATCCAATGACCATTTCTGAACTGCAAACAAAATACAACAGCATCCCATGGGTTAAATATATCAACACTCTGTTGGCCCCGGATACCGAGGTGGGACAAGATGAGGTGATCATCGTTAGCGTGCCTCAATATTTGAAGGACTTTGAGAATTTGATTGCACAAACACCAAAAAGGTTAGAGAATTTCTTGTAGTAAATCAGTTACATTAGTACATAATTATTTGTTTATTTTTATAGAGTTCAAGCCAATTATCTATTGTGGCGTGCCGCTGCTTCCTCTGTAACCTACCTCACCGAAGAGTTGCGCAATCGACAACTTCAATACAGCACTATTGTTACTGGTAAAACCGAACGCGCTTCCAGGTGGAAGGAATGCATTGATATCTCGGCTGGAAGTTTACCGATTGCTGCTGGTGCTCTTTACGTGCGCAAATACTTCAATGAAGATGCGCGTCAGAGTGCCAAGGAGATGGTGGCTGATATCAGGGCTGAATTTAAGGAGATTGTTAAGAAGGTTGATTGGATGGACGAGAAGACGCGTCAGAGTGCTCTGGAAAAAGCCGATTCTATGTCTACGCACATTGCCTACCCTGATGAACTGTTGGATAACAGTAAATTGGAAGAATTCTATCAGAATGTAAGCATTACCTGACAAATCACAACATAACCTATTTTAATATCTATTTTTATAGTTGGAACTTGAGGATGGCAACTATATGAGATCAATTTTGAATTTGACATTGTTCGGTACCGAGTTCAGCTTTAGAAGGTTGCGGCAAGCAGTCAATAAGACCGATTGGATTACCCATGGACGTCCAGCAATCGTCAACGCTTTCTATTCATCGATTGAAAACAGTATTCGTAAGTGTAGACGAATTTTTATTATATAGATGGTGTTGTTAACACAAAAATATATTTAGAATTCCCTGCTGGTATTCTGCAAGGCGTCTTCTTCAACAATGATCGTCCCAAGTATATGAATTACGGCGCCATTGGTTTTGTTATTGGCCATGAAATTACTCATGGATTTGATGATCAAGGACGGCAGTTCGATAAGGATGGTAATTTGGTTGATTGGTGGGCGCCGGAGACACAGCAAGCGTTCGTTAAGAAAGCTCAATGTATTATTGATCAATATGGCGGCTACAATGTCACGGAAATTGGCATCAACGTAAGTCTCAAATTGAATTTTCAGCCGCTTCGTAGTTCTTTCCATTCCTATATATTCAGTTCTGTAGTTGTATAGTTTCCTGTAGATAATTGAGTTTTAGTTGGTGAATTTTGGTGTTGTGCGTATGTGTGTGAATATGTGTGTGGTTGTCTGATGGTGTTGACACCTCTGATGGACCAAAAACGCGCGTTTGTTCTGCTCATGTTCGCAGCTGAACGGCATCAACACGCAGGGGGAGAACATCGCCGATAACGGCGGCATCAAGGAGGCTTACCTGGCGTACAATCGCTGGGTGGCGGAGAAGAATGGCGGGCGTCCAGAACCGCGTCTGCCCGGCGTGCCCTACGGCGGGCGGCAGCTCTTCTGGATCTCGGCGGCGCGCGTCTGGTGCTCGAAGACGCGCACGGAGACGCTGCGCCAGCTTGTCATTACCGACGAACATTCTCCAGACAGGTATCGCGTCGTCGGCGCTCTCGCCAACATGGAGTACTTCGCGCGCGACTTTCGTTGCCCACTGGGCTCGCACATGAATCCGAAGAACAAGTGCAAGATTTGGTAGTGATCAGAGCAATCCGGATGAGATTTTTTATTAAACAAGCAAAATGTTAACAAAAAAATTGAAACAAACGAGTAGCACACAAGTTGGAACAAAAAATAAAACGGAATAGAAAATGGAAGTGATCATCAACTTCGGGACTCATTGCTACTCGCCTCGAATGGAAAGACTTTTGATATTTTTAAATTTATTGAGAGCGGCGTAACGCGTCGTCTAGTATTTTCGGGATTTGACACATTTTTATATTTATTGGACATTACACTAATTATTGAGAGTATTAATATAGCCAGTCGGAAAGTTACCAAAAACGTGAAATGTACAAAAACTCGAATATTGTCAATGATCAATCGATAACAATATTACTTGAAGGTTACCAGTAAAAAGAGTACAAACGCACACACACACAATTAAGAAGAAACATACACATTTACTTAAAAAACGACATTTGTACTTAACTTTCTTGATAATTACTATTGCTAGTTTAAATTTAAAACAGAAAAAAGAAACGAAAAGATTAATATATGAACATATTTAAACTCTTAAGAATTAAAGACCAAATAAATGAGAAATTATATAATTATACGCCAATAATTATTGTTTAAGGGTTTTGTTAACGATTATCTAACTCACTAACGCTTTCGACTAATTTCGAATAATTTTCATTGTAAATTGTCCTGTAGTTTAGCTTAACTAACAAACATAATTTTACTAAGCGCGCAATGATGATTTCCTTGTTTTGTATGTTTATGTGCCTTTTATTTTTGTTCTCTTGTTTCAACGTGTGCAATACGTGTCTGCTTGCTTCCAGCTGAACGGTATTAACACCCAGGGAGAGAACATCGCCGACAATGGCGGCTTGAAACAGGCTTATCTCGCTTACAATCAATGGGTGGAGCGCAACGCCGTCGAGGCGCGCTTGCCGGGCTTGGAGTATTCGCCGAACCAGATGTTCTGGCTGTCGGCGGCGTCTAACTGGTGCTCCAAGTATCGTCCTGAATCTCTTCGATTGCGGGTACTCACTGGTCAACATTCAGTGGGTTATTACCGCGTTATTGGGCCGATGAGTAATCTTGAGGAATTCAGCAAAGACTTCAAATGTCCTCTGGGAAGCAGGATGAATCCCAAGAAGAAGTGTATTGTTTGGTAGGACATCAAGAATCAAGAAAAATGGCTACCTTGTTGGATTTTATAGATTTAAACGTTAAAAAAGAACTTTCTGGATTTTGTTTGTATTGAGAAGAGGAATGGTGTTGTAATTTATGATCAAACTTTGTACTTGACGTGCACATATTGACAATTATTGAATAGATTTAAGTGTAGTTTTTAAGAGATGTTAGGAAAAAAGGAATCCTTAAAGGAAAACAAGTGACGTCAACGCGATAGCAACGTGTGGAATGTGATAATTTCTTTACTCGCTCACTTTTATTTACGTAGTTGCTGTTGCAGTTCGGACAAAACACCCAACGCGGTGTTATTTATTTTAATCTTATATAATGAGGATTTGAAAACCATGCCACATGTAAACGTGTAAGTCTTTTCACTTAACTTTTAACATTCTAGATTTAAAGCGAATGATTTATGTGAAACTAATTAATAAAATTAATAAATGACTTTTAAGATAACAAAATATGGGTAGAAATAACTTATATTGCAGACAGGATTAAAGAAGATATAAATTATTTTACATTGCGACAAGTTTTGATTGATTTATTTAATGTTTACGTTCTATTTTATTGAATTTGGCGTGTATAGACATGTATTCAAGACTTGTTTTCGTTTTTTGTCGTGCGTGTTATCAGTGTTTGGGTTTGTGTGTGTGTTGCTGCGCGCAATGTTACCTGAGGCAATTGGTGCTCTGCATGCTGCTCACACCAACGGCAACAATTTGCAAACAGTTTTATTCTAGCCGTCGGACGGCGTGGTCGGGTTTACTTCTGTTCTTGGTTATTTTATTCGGTGATTCGCGTTGTATTCGATCAAATAATCAATGGTATTTAGTGTGAATTGACTGACTATTGAATAAATTCGAAGATGAAGTTATTTACTATAAAATGTGAATTTAATGTTTTGTGTACTGTTTCCGCCGGTGCATGTGCTTGGCCTCCATCTGCTCTCAATCTGCTTCAGTAATTGCTTTTCGAGTTCCGCGGTCAAACCCTCCGGTAAGATAGTTATAATTTAATAATTTAATGCTTCGATTTAATTTCTCGTGGCATCATTCAAAATCTCGTCGACTATTGAATTCAGTTTTTCAGATTTTAGATTTTCTTAGTTGTTTTCTTTTGTATTCCCTGCTTATAACATTTTTATTTATTTTATTATTTATGACATCCTGCCTTTATTAGTAATCGTGAATAAATATTGTTTTGAGTTCCGTGCAGCCAACAAGCAAAATGAAAGAAACTACCTCCAGGGTCGCGTTCAGCAAACATATCACAAACTGATAGTGACCGCGTGTTGTCGCCGTGGACTGTGTACATTGCAGTTTTATTTCGGACGCCGGGTAAATTGCGCGTGTTCATCACAACTAGTTCTATTTCGCCCGATCATAATTAGGTATATCGGTTTATATTCAACAATTAACGGTATGTATAGGAATCGGGTGTGATCCGGGGTTTTGCTAGTACGTTGCAAATGTTACGTTCATCAATCGCTGATTCATCGTCAGTTCATTTGTGCTCGCTTGTGGTTCCGTCGGCCGTCGCTGAATATTTTTCTCCTGTGAAATTATATGATAAAACGATAATTGATAGATAAACGGAAATCTGAAAGATGAAATTTTAACATTTTTCAATTTTTGCCCATTTTATTCAATCGCGAATATCTCGTAAACTAAAAGAGATAAATAGGATCTGATCGCAGCGTCTTAATCTACGGACCAATCTCTATCAGATAGGATAGTTAGAAGGGAAATCAAAGAGATGAAATTTTAAGTCTTAAGAAAAAATTGCCAAGGGGGGGTGCTTGATACTTTTTTTCGACGATTTTTGATTATTAATATCTCTTAAACTAATAGCGATAGCTACCAACGAATTGTTGATTATGAAAGACTGGAAGATTCTCTATCAGATAAAAATATAAAATAATTATATTTCCTACAGTAAAAGGTCTAAAAACGCGACTAAAAGTGCTAAAAAGTGACATTTTTCAATTTTGGCCCATTTTATTCAATCGCGAATATCTCGTAAACTAAAAGAGATAAATAAGATCTGATCGCAGAGTCTTAATCTACGGACCAATCTCTATCAGATAGGATAGTTAAAAGGGAAATCTAAGAGATGAAATTTTAAGTCTTAAGAAAAAATTGCCAAGGGGGGGTGCTTGATACTTTTTTTCGACGATTTTCAAAAATTCATATCTCTTAAACTAAAAGAGATAGCTACCAACGAATTGTTGATTATGAAATATTGGAAAATTCTCTATCATATAAAAGTATAAAATAATTATATTTCCTACAGTAAAAGGTCGAAAAACGCGACTAAAAGTGCTAAGAAGTGACATTTTTCAATTTTGGCCCATTTTATTCAATCGCGAATACCTATCTCGTAAACTAAAAGAGATAAATAGGATCTGATCGCAGCGTCTTAATCTACGGACTATTCCCTATCACATAGGATAGTTAAAACGAAAATTTGAGTGATGAAATTTTAATTCTTAAGAAAAAATTGCCAAGGGGGGGTGCTTGATACTTTTTTTCGACGATTTTTGATAATTAATATCTCTAAAACTAAAAGTGATAGCTACCAACGAATTGTTGATTATGAAAGATTGGAAAATACTCTATCAGATAAAAATATAAAATAATTATATTTCCAACAGTAAAATGTCAAAAAATGCAACTAAAAGTACTAAAAAGTGATATTTTTCAATTTTTGCCCATTTTATTCAATCGCGAATATCTCGTAAACTAAAAGAGATAATTAGGATCGCATCGCATCAGATAGAACAGTTAAAAATGAAATCTGAGAGATGAAATTTTATTTTGACGTGATAACGTCTTTAACACGTTGAGGACGGCGTGTACCACCGGTGGTACACACGCGTCTGGTCTGTGAGACGGCGTGTACCACCGGTGGTACACGGCTCATTTGAAACGAGAATTATTCATTTTTGACTACGCCACTGGTTAGGTTATATCTTCTCCTCGTTTCACCTATACAATCAGGGCCTTGCATCTTTGTCATCAAATGTGTCACTCAGATTACATATTATAATAAATAGTGACCGACCAAAGTTTCAGTTTTGGCTTCAAATTTGGTTTCGGCCAAAAATTGGCTGAAACTTTTGGCAGAACCGAAACTCAGTGTTCGTGAATTATGGTGCGTCGTTCGGCTAACTCGCGGCTAAGTCGTGGTCGTCACTTGCCATCTCAGTTTGCACATAGCTTCGGTCGGACTCTAATGATAAAGGCATTCATTACAAAGAAAATAAATAAATGGCGACGCAACTGCAAAAACAATCGCTTTTTGATACAGCAATGCATAACCACCAGTGGCGCACAGCTGAATTAATTAGACGGAGTTGAAAATGCTCAAACGCCGCCCGATGCGACTGACACCCAAAAACCGCGCCGTCCTCAACGTGTTAAAATCGTTTTTAGTCGGGTGACATGTTCAGAAACTTGTGTCACGAGGCCGATCGCAGGTATAACGAGAGAGAGAGAGAGACGGACCGATTTCCCGTCTCATCTCGAGCGCTGCCAGTCATTCCGTGAAACTTGACACGCGGAATCCACACGAGCGGAGGCAGGCATAGCGTTCGAGTGAGTTGACCGATCATCCGTCTCTCTCACTCTAGCGGCATACAAACGAATGGAGATTTTCTCGTGCGGTTAAGTTTTCGTTGAATGTTTTAGGCTCCCCGCACACAACAAACTTTTTATCGGCCGATAACAGTAAAACAAAATGTGAAGTGCAAGTGAAGTGTTACAACAATTGCAACAAACAAAACTTATATCACCAATAAGACGTTATCACGTAAACATCTCGATCGTAAACCTACTTTACAAACAACCATTTTTTATGAAAATAAGATTCAGGACACCGTACTAGAGTAGCGGTAGAAGTGACTCGATTCAGGGCACCGTATGAGGCTAGCGGTAGAAGTGATTCTCATTTAGTGCACCGTGCAAGGGTAGCGGTAGAATTGACTCGATTCAGGGCACCGTACGAGGCTAGCGGTGGAAGTGAGTTGTATTCATAAAATATAAATGGCTTTAGGACCTTTTAGCCCAGGAAATTTAATTATTATATATTTTACCTGATAGAGAATTTTCCAAACTTTTATAATCTTCAATCTGCTTGTGGCTAGCGCTATTAATTTAAAAGATATTCGTTACCAAAAATACTTAAAACAATATGACACAGCATTTTATTACATCGCAAAGCCAATAAATTCTTTTCATATGCCGAGAAATATTGAAAGTAAAAGTAGATTTCGTGTATGTCGGTTATTTCAACATTGTGAAATTTTAGTTTTGTCTTCTCAACTACTTGTTTATCGGTATGTTTGTGTATAAACAACTTTTTTTGTTCGACTCACGTGTGAATTCGCTGCATACCTGCCTTGTACCTGGCTACG